TTTTCTTAAACGGAGCCTGAATACTTCATTTTTGAGTCCAACCAAGCCAACCATACTAAGGACTAGTATTAAAATTTCCCCAAAAGGCTTTCCTTGTCACTTCACGCTCCAAATTTTTGGACGATTTCGGTCGTTTATCTAGGTGAAAGGGGGTCTATCTCTATCGGGGGAGATACTGGGGGAATCCCAACTTATTCAATATATCTTACAAGTCACACTATATATCAATCCACACTGCACTTTTATCTTCGTGATATTGGAAACGTACTCTTGGAACACCAATGGGCATAAAAAAAAAGATTTTCTATTTTCAAATTCACTTTGATAAGGAAACGTAAAACTAAAAAAACAAATTGAATATCTATATCAAAAGAGATAGAGGATTCTAGTCTAAAAATACGTAACTCAAATTATTTCAAATTTCAAAAATTAGAATACAAAATAAAGCAGAATAACTTGAATAAATGTAACTTGGTTCGTGATATATGCAATAAAGGTAGATGTTGCGGATTCATACTTATCGAGTCTAGAATAAATCTGCTTGTCTTTGTTCCTACGAAAGAAAATGGATGCTCTATTCTGAAAAAATACGTTTAAAAAGAGCAATGTGGGGTCCCTAGGATGCTTGTATTTTTCTGTTTTTACAATGCAAGAAAGTTACGCAGTGTCTATTTATCTTTGATGAAAGGGGTATTTCCATGGGTTTGCCTTGGTATCGTGTTCATACTGTTGTATTGAATGATCCTGGTCGGTTGCTTTCGGTTCATATTATGCATACAGCTTTGGTTGCGGGGTGGGCTGGTTCCATGGCTATGTATGAATTAGCGGTTTTTGATCCTTCCGACCCTGTTCTTGATCCAATGTGGAGACAAGGTATGTTTGTAATACCCTTTATGACTCGGTTAGGAATAACTAATTCGTGGAGGGGTTGGGGTATTACAGGGGGGACTATAACGACTCCCGGTCTTTGGAGTTACGAAGGTGTAGCTGGCGCACATATTTTGTTTTCTGGGTTATGTTTTTTTGGCAGCTATCTGGCATTGGGTGTATTGGGATCTAGAAGTCTTTTGTGATGAACGGACTAGAAAACCCTCTTTGGATTTACCTAAGATCTTTGGAATTCATTTATTTCTTGCGGGGGTTACTTGCTTTGGCTTTGGTGCATTCCATGTAACGGGTTTGTATGGTCCCGGAATTTGGGTATCCGATCCTTATGGCCTAACAGGAAAAGTACAACCTGTTAATCCTGCCTGGGGTGTGGAAGGCTTTGATCCTTTTGTTCCAGGAGGAATAGCCTCTCATCATATTGCAGCAGGAACACTGGGCATTTTAGCGGGGTTATTCCATCTTAGTGTCCGTCCGCCTCAACGGCTATACAAGGCATTACGTATGGGAAATATAGAAACAGTACTTTCCAGTAGTATTGCTGCTGTCTTTTTTGCAGCTTTTGTAGCTACCGGAACTATGTGGTATGGTTCGGCGACTACCCCAATTGAATTATTTGGCCCCACCGTTATCAATGGGATCAAGGGTATTTCCAACAAGAGATATATCGAAGAGTTAGTATAGGACTAGCAGAAAATCAAAGTTTATCAGAAGCCTGGTCGAAAATTCCGGAAAAATTAGCTTTTTATGATTATATCGGTAATAATCCAGCAAAGGGAGGATTATTCAGAGCAGGTTCGATGGATAACGGGGATGGAATAGCAGTAGGATGGTTAGGCCACCCTGTGTTTAGAGATAAAGAAGGGCGTGAACTTTTTGTACGCCGTATGCCTACTTTTTTTTGAAACATTTCCAGTGATTCTAGTAGACAGTGATGGAATTGTTAGAGCCGATGTTCCGTTTAGAAGGGCAGAATCAAAGTATAGTGTTGAACAAGTAGGAGTAACTGTTGCGTTCTACGGTGGTGAACTCAATGACGTAAGTTTTAGTGATCCGGCTACTGTGAAAAAATATGCTAGACGTGCTCAATTGGGTGAAATTTTTGAATTAGATCGTGCTACTTTGAAATCCGATGGTGTTTTTCGAAGTAGTCCAAGAGGTTGGTTTACTTTTGGGCACGCTTCTTTTGCATTGCTCTTCTTTTTCGGACACATTTGGCATGGTGCTAGAACCCTGTTCAGAGATGTTTTTGCTGGTATTGACCCAGATTTAGATGTGCAAGTAGAGTTTGGAGTATTCCAAAAATTGGGAGATCCAACGACAAGACGGCAAGCTGTCTGATATACCATTTATCCTATTATTTTGATATCTGTCTTTCGTTCTTTCTTTATCCGAAGCGAAGTAAGATATAGGATAAAAAATGAAAAAACAAATAGGTAGGAAAGCTATAATTGGAAACTACGATCTAATTTATGGAAGCATGGTTTATACATTCCTCTTAGTCTCGACTCTAGGAATAATATTTTTCGCTATCTTTTTTCGAGAACCTCCTAAAGTCCCAATGAAAAAGATCAAATAATTTTTCACTTTATTAACTTGAAGTAATAAGCCCTCCACCGTGGGGAGGCTTATTACTTTACTTCAACTAATCTCCATGTTCTTCGAATGGATCTCTTAACTGTTGAGAAGGTTGTCCAAAAGCGGTATAGAAGGCATACCCAGTAAAACTAACAAGTAAACCAGATAGAAAGATCGTAACTAGGATTGCTGTTTCCATTTTTTTATTAGTATCTATTTTTATTAGTATAGAATTAAAATACTCCAAAGGATCTATGCTAAGATTATTTATTTATAACGCAATGGTATACAAAGTCAACAGATCTCTCAATGAATAAAATAGGATTTATGGCTACAAAAACTAGTGATAAGGTTCTCAATATCGTCCAAGACAAACCACTATCGGTAATTTATTAAAACCATTGAATTCAGAATACGGTAAAGTAGCTCCGGGATGGGGAACAACGCCTTTCATGGGTTTGGCAATGGGTTTATTCGCGATATTTCTATCTATTATTTTAGAGATTTATAATTCTTTCCGTTTTATTGGATGGAATTTCAATGAATTGAAACCTAGTCCCCCCTTTTTTTTTTCAAAGCGGCGCCCTTTTCACTGGGATTTATAATGCATTCTATTTTATGCAAGTGTGGTAGTTTGATCGCGTTATTTCTTTATTTCTATCATTTCCGGAATATGAGTGTGTGACTTGTTATAATGGATCCTATTCATAGTCCATAAAATTTGGTTATCTTACTTACTAGAGATGATTTTCTTCGTCAGATATAGATTCGAGTATCTGAAACACGAGATCTATTTGAACTATGATTCAGACTTCCTATTCAGACCTCGTGCCCGGGTTCCAAAAAAATTTAGAAACTAAGAAGGTTTGATTATTTAAAACCTTATGGATGACCAAAATAAAAATTCCATCTATTTAGTATGGTTAAAGTTAATTTAAAAAGGTTCTTACTCAGGGAATCCTTGATTACGTTTCAAATTTTTTCATCGTGGTTCTAAATAGGAATCTTAGGTTTTATTCGATTTATAGGGTCTTAACAAGGTAATTCCTATCCGATCAAATAAACAAAACAAATAAAAAAAGAATCATTCCAGAAAAAAAGATAGGTAAAGAGAAGCTTCAAAAAGCCCGTCAAAATAAAAATAAAGACAACTGAGCTAACTTGATATTTTTTTATTAGTGCCAAAAAAATCAATAAAAAATAATAAATTTCGCATTTTATTGAATATATAATAAATGTGTTGGTCTGGCCAGCGCAGTGAGTATTTGGACATTTTTGGTTGAGCTGTACGAGATGAAAGTCTCACATACGGTTCTAAGGGGGGGAAATTAGCCTATCTCAATAAAGTCTATGATTGGTTCGAAGAACGTCTGGAGATTCAGGCGATTGCAGATGATATAACTAGTAAATATGTTCCTCCACATGTCAATATTTTTTATTGTTTAGGAGGAATTACGCTTACGTGTTTTTTAGTACAAGTAGCTACCGGGTTTGCTATGACTTTTTACTATCGTCCGACCCTTACAGAGGCGTTTGCTTCTGTTCAATACATAATGACTGAAGCGAACTTTGGTTGGTTAATCCGATCGGTTCATCGATGGTCAGCAAGTATGATGGTATTGATGATGATTCTGCATGTATTTCGTGTGTATCTGACAGGTGGGTTTAAAAAACCTCGTGAATTAACTTGGGTTACAGGTGTAATTTTAGCTGTATTGACAACATCTTTTGGCGTAACTGGTTATTCGTTACCTCGGGACCAAATAGGTTATTGGGCAGTGAAAATTGTAACAGGCGTACCCGAAGCTATTCCTGTAATAGGATCACCTTTAGTAGAATTTTTACGCGGAAGCGCTAGTGTGGGTCAATCCACCTTGACTCGTTTTTATAGTTTACACACTTTTGTCTTGCCTCTTATTACTACCGTATTTATGTTAATGCACTTTTCAATGATACGTAAACAGGGTATTTCTGGTCCTTTATAAATCAAAATAAAAATAGATCCTAAATAATCAAATTTGTGTTATATGTTATTTATCACTTGGAGGAGGGGTACTAGTATTTCATTGCTACAAAAAAATCCATTCTTTAAAATAATAAGACATGGTTTTGGATATTTATCTTCACCCTTCCTATATTCTTTGTTTTACATGAATACACAAATAGGCGAGGGGAATTCTTTGAAGTTGAAGATCAATTTTACGATAAAATGGATTATGGGAGTGTGCGACCTGAACTATTGATTGGTCTATGTAGATATAAGCCTACCACATTTGAATTATCATCACCCAAATGTGTCTTTGTTCCAATTGGCGCATAAGCCTTATGTGAGGGATAAGCTGGTTCCCTTAAAGATAATTTTTTCTATGATCATATAAAAATCATGTTATACATAAGTAGGCTCCGTAAAATCCAATATTGAATCTAAAAAGATCCTAGAAACTTTTTATTTTTATTTAGCGTTTTAAACGCTAATATATAATCTGTAAATGGAGTTATTTCCTCTCCATTGGCCCGATTTCGATAATACTATCGGAGGTGAAACAAGAGATCTAACGAAGAAAAAGAAAAGAAACTGGACTTTTTTTTAGTAACAAGTAAACCTTTTTGCATATCTGAAAATATGAAAATTTTTTGAAAATAGTTTCAGATCAATACGCATTCTAAGGTTGGAGACGACCCAAAAAGCACTTGATCCTATCAGAAAATGAAGCCTACTTGGGTCTTGAGTAGTCAGGCATAAGCAAATAATAAAAAAATGTAATTTTTTGACTAGAGAAGGTTCACTTGAGAAAAACAAATTTTTTCTTTTACATTGAACTATTCCTATCTCAAAGATTATATTTTCTGTATAAATGAATATAATACTCTTATAGAAATGTATTTCTTCATTAATTATAGATTCTTTGTTAATTATTTGTTTGAGTCTTGCTCGAGCTGGATGATTAAAAATTATCATGTCCGGTTCCCTCGGGGGATGGATCTCTAAGACTTCACCTATCCCAATAATAAAAAAACCTGACTTGAATTGATCCTGTATTAAGAGCTAAATTGGCAAAAGGTATGGGTCATAATTATTACGGGGAACCCGCATGGCCCAATGATCTTTTATATATTTTTCCAGTAGTTATTCTTGGTACTATTGCATGTAATGTAGGTTTAGCAGTTCTAGAACCATCAATGATTGGTGAACCCGCAAATCCCTTTGCAACCCCGTTAGAAATATTACCTGAATGGTATTTTTTTCCTGTATTTCAAATACTTCGTACCGTGCCTAATAAAATATTAGGTGTTCTTTTAATGGTTTCAGTACCTACGGGATTATTAACAATCCCTTTTTTTAGAGAATGTTAATAAATTCCAAAACCCATTTCGTCGTCCAGTAGCAACCACTGTGTTTTTGATTGGTACCGGAGTGACCTTTTGGTTGGGCATTGGTGCAACATTACCTATTGAGAAATCTCTCACTTTAGGTCTTTTTTAAATTTGTTTTGTGGAGTTTTAATTCAATTTTAAAAAACCAAAGCTTGTGTATCTAGGGAAGCGTTTCTTCAAAGTTCTTCCTAGATACACCTAAATTCATATTCATGAATTTTTCGATTCCTTTTTGATATTTTTTAATATTTCGTATTTTGAATATGAAACTCTTAATTCATAGTGATGAAAATAAAATGATCAAATTCTAGACTAAAAAATATTTTATAAAAAGTTTTTTTAATTAATTTATTAATTAAACCGAAGTTTCTTATAAATAAAGTACAAAATATTTTCCTAGAATCCCCAATATGTTTTTTTATATCTTCTAGTTGAAAATGTTCTATTTTTAAAAGATATTCTTGTTTGTGATTAAAAAGATCAAATAATGTAAATATATTTGACTTTTTCAAGCAATTATATATCTTGGGAGGGAATTCTAATTGGTCAATAAAAATTAATTTCAATGAAAGTTTCTTTTTTTTTTTTATAAGTTTAGTCACTTTATTATAAAAGATAAGGGAGGATAGGGGAATTTTGTGTTCCGCATCCGCTAAATATAAGCTTTCTTCTTCCATATGGAAAAAAGGAATAAAGAAATCAATCAAGATTCGGGCGGCTTCATGAAGTGCTTCTTTTGGTGTTAAACTCCCATTTGTCCATATTTCCAAAAAAAGTATCTCTTGTTTTTCATTCCCATAAGAATGAATACTATGATTCGCATTTTGAACCGGCATGAATAGAGCATCTATAGGATAAATTCCATCGTCAAAGTGAAGGTCCGCTTTGTTGAAATATCCGCGATTTCTCTCTATTTTTAATCCAATAAAAAAATCAATAGGTCTGTCAACCAAGCTATATGTTGTGTGTTATCAACGATTTGTACATGAGGGGGTAATATTATATCTTGGGCAGTTACATGTCGAGGTCCCTTGATACAAATAGACGCATCACAAGTTCCATATTGATTGCTCCTCAATACAATTTCTTTCAAATTCATTAAAATCTCATGTATCGATTCTTGAATCCCGCCTATGGTAGAATACTCATGCGAGGCTTTCTCAGATTTTACACGTGTGATACATGTCCCCTTCTATTTCTCCCAGTAAAGCTCTTCGCATCGCAATTCCTATTGTATCGGCTTGACCTTTTATAAGTGGAGATAGGATAAAGCGGCCATAAAAAAGGCGTTTACTGTCTATTCTTGATTCAACACATTTCCACTGTAGTGTCCGAGTAGATACTGCTACTTTCTCTCGAACCATAAAAATTTTGATTTAGTATATTAGTGAATCTTCTATTTCTCTTGATATAGGTTCACTTTTGATTTCTACACACGTCGTTTTTTGGGGGGTCTACAGCCATTGTGTGGCATAGGGGTTATATCCCTTATAAAAGTTAATAGTAGACCGCTTCTATGAATAGCTCGTAATGCTGCATCTCTTCCGAGACCGGGACCTTTTATAAATACTTCAGCTCGTAGCATACCTCGATTCATTACTTTACGAAGAGCATTTATTACCGCGGTTTGAGCAGCAAAAGGTGTTCCTCTTCTGGTTCCTTTGAATCCAGAAGTACCGGCAGAGGACCAAGAAACTACCCGTCCCTGTACATCTGTAATAGTCACTATGGTATTATGGAAACTGGCTTGAACATGAATTACTCCTTTTGGTATTCTACGTGCATTCTGACGTGAACCACTACGTCCGCCCTTTCTACGCGAACTAATTTTCGATATATATTTTACCATTAAGCATTTTTTAAATCTGAGTCAGCGATACACTATATGGATATATCCATTTCACAATTCTTTCATTTATAGAATTGGTTTAGTTACTAAGTTAAGTTGCGAAGTCTTATTATCCCTGTCGTTGTTTATGTCTGGGATTGGAACATATTACTATAAGTCGTCCCCTTCTCCGTATTAATCGACATCTGTCACAAATTTTACGAACAGAAGCTCTTATTTTCATATAAAGACTCCTTACATTTCTTTTAAATTTACTTTAGAGTTTCGGTTTTATTGGAAGATTCTAATAAATACATTCATTTTTTTCTATTTTAAATTTATAATTTTGTTATTCTTGCTAAATGAATAGCTAAGTTGAGAAACGACTCCTTTGAATCATTGTTGTGTTGCAAAAGATTCATCGACTTGTTCTGAAGTAAACTAAAAAAGGATTTAGCCTATTTTCACAAACAGAACTTAAAAAAAAAAAAAGAAAGTGATTTTTGTTCTTTATTGTGATCTTTAAAATATTACCATATATAACACAAAATTTCCCCCCCCGATTCTTTGCAGTCGGGCTTCTCGGTCTGTCATTATACCACGTGAAGTAGAAAGAATTACAACCCCCATCCCGCCTAAAATTTTAGGTATTTTTTTAGACGTAGAATACATTCGTAGACCGGGTCGACTTATCCGTTTTAAATTTAGAATATTGCTAAAGGTCCTTTTTTTAGTCTTGATATGTTGCAGAGTTAAAACTAAAAAATTCTTGTTGTTTTCTCGATGTTTTCTCACACTTTCAATAAAACCTTCTTTTAAAAGGAGTTTTACAATCTTTTCGTTAATATTACTGGATGGGATTCGAACCATTCTTTTTCGATCCATATCAGCATTCCGTATAGAAGTTATTATCTCAGCAATAGTGTCCCTACCCATGATAAACTCTAATTATGGGACTCAAAAATTTTATATTCTCAACGTGTTTTTTTTATTGTCTATGGATTATTGTGTTTATCTTACTTTAATTTTAATCTTAAAATTATATACGTGAGACAGATTCTACTCCATTTTTTTTTTTGAATTTTTTTTATAATACCTCAGGAGCTAATGAAACTATTTTAGTAAAATTTAATTGTCTCAACTCCCGGGGGATTGGACCAAAAATTCTGGTCCCTTTTGGATTTCCTTCTTTATCAATAACAACTGCGGCATTATCATCATATCGTATTATTATCCCGTTGCCGCGTTTTAGTTCTTTACAGGTACGCACGATTACGGCTCTAACGACTTCAGATCTTTGTAGAGGCATATTAGGTACAGCTTCTTTGATAACAGCAACAATAATGTCACCAATATAAGCATATCGACGATTGCTAGCTCCTATTATTCGAATACACATCAATTTTCGAGCCCCGCTGTTATCTGCTACATTTAAAAGGGTTTGGGATTGAATCATAGCATTTTTTTTTATTCTTTTCTTTCACAATGCAAAGGGCGAAGAAAAAAAGAAATATTTTTTGTCCACAAACATAAAACGAAACTTATTTTTTTGTTTTTGTTTCATTCTTAAGATTCTTTGGGGTAGTTTTAGAGTGATATTTTCTATTCTATCTCCGAAATAATGAATTGAGTTCGTATCGGCATTTTCGATGCTGCTATTGAAATAGCTTTTCTGGCAATATTTTTTGTTACTCCACCCATTTCAAAAAGGATCCGACCGGGTTTAACAACAGCAACCCAATATTCAGGGGATCCTTTTCCTGAACCCATACGTGTTTCTGCGGGTCGTACAGTAACTGGTTTATCAGGAAATATACGTACCCATATTTTTCCTCCACGACGTGCATTTCGTGTCATTGCCCGTCGGCCGGCTTCTATTTGTCTAGATGTGATCCAAGCGGGTTCAAGTGCTTGAAGCGCATATTTACCGAAACAGATATGATTACCTCGAGAAGCTATTCCCTTCATTCTTCCTCTATGTTGTTTACGGAATCTGGTTCTTTTGGGGTTATAGTTGATGGATTTTTATTTATTACATCTCTACTACAGAACCGGACGTGAGAGTTTCTTCTCATCCAGCTCCTCGCGAATTACGAATAAAGGATTTACAAAATGAGCTTTTGACTAAAATTGATTAATCATAGTGAAGATATCTAAATCTTCAATCTAAAGATAGATACTAAGATAAATACTACAAATCTAAATATAGATAATAAGATCTATAATAATAATATGGACTGAGAAGTCCAAATAATATTTAGGAATTGAGTGATATTTTTTTTCAATCTATTTGAAATAAAATGACTTATTCTACACTTTTTTCATGATTCTCTGAGTCTAACTAATCCTTCTTTTTGACTATTCTTGAATATTGTCTTTATATTGCTTTTTGATTCTTTTGCAAAAAGTTTTCGCGGGCGAATATTGACTCTGTCAATTTAGATTTCATTTCTAGGACGAGCCTGTTACATCTTCTAGCTACTATCTAGAAATCAAATAATTTAACATTGGTTTATTTCGCCATCCCAGCCAGTGAATATTTAAGATTTTTTTTTATTTAATCTTAAATTGAATCTTTTTTATTCATAAGTTCCGTCGTCCCCATCACTTCTTACTTAATGGTTAGGTCCTAATTTTACAATGGAGCTCAAATAGTAATATATGAATAATTTGAGTCTTGAGCCATTTTTCTTAGTCTTTATTGGCTTTAAGCTCTTTACTTTAAATTTATCTAATAATTATCTATTCTATAATTTAATTTCTATAATAAGAGTATATTGTTTTTTATTATTGAATATTCTTAGATTTTTTATTCTATTTCAAATACTTGAATATGCAGAATTTAAGTATTAATGCTTCATTACATTGCCTATTTTGTTAGACCCTACATATTGGAATTTTCAATCATTGAGCTTATTTTTCTTCCTTTCTCTCTCCCTTCCAATTATCTACATCTTTTTTATATCTTGCTTGGCAACTTCAATAATATTTGAATAATTTTTGTTTATGCAAATAAATGGCAATTGCTACAACGATATGAGCGCTAATCATATCATGACTGGTTATTTAGATCCAGATAATGCGAAATTGATGAGTTAGTTATTAGGTAATTTCTTCTCGAGTGAGTAGTTGTTACTTTGGGTTTGGTTTCATGCTAACCTTAAAAAATGAACGAGTCGCACACTAAGCATAGCAATGATATTTTTATTAAAAAATAAATAAAATTTTTATTCAACCTTATAGAATTCATTATTATCAATTAGAAATCAATTAGAACTGTTCCTGCTCATTACACAAAATAATTTGTGAAATGGGCCGCTTGGTATTACAGGTAAAAAGAATGAATAAAATTTTATTGAGCTTCATCAAAAAATATCCAAATTTTTATGCCTAAAACCCCGTAGATAGTTCGAACTGAATAACAACAATAATCCATTTTAGCTTGAATAGTTTGTCGGGGAACTCTTCCTTCTCTTATCCATTCCACACGTGCAATTTCCTTTCCGTCAAGGCGTCCCGCAATTTGTACTTGAATTCCTTTTGTATCTGCTTGTTCAGCTAATTCAATAGCTTTTTTCATTGCTTTTCGAAAGGAAACTCTATTCTTTAATTGTCCAGCTATAAATTCGGCAAGAATATTAGGATTTCCATACGGTTTTTCAATTTTTGTGATAGCAATATTCAGTTTTCGGTTTACAAAATTTAATTTTTTTTGTAGAGCTTTTTGTAATTCTTCAACTCCCTGTGGGCTATTTTCCATAAATATTTTTGGAAATCCCATATATATTATGACTTGGATTAGATCGAGTCTTTTTTTAATATATATACTTGCAATTCCCTCGGTAGCCGAGGGTTTGATTCTATTTTTTTGTACATAATTTTTGATAAAAGCTCTTATCTTTTGATCTTCTTGCAGATTTTCAGCATACGTTTTTGGTTTTGAAAACCAAAGTGAATAATGGGCCTGGGTTTGTACCAAGTCTGAAACCAAGTGGATTTATTTTTTGTCCCATAAATACCTCCTATTCTGGATATCAGAATATGCTTTAGTTCTAGAATTTTTTTTCGCTTGTGGTTTTTTTTAGCAAACCGAGCTCCACAGATTCAGAATCATTGAATGAAATATCTTTTAGTACAATACTGATATGGCAGGTCGGTCTTTTTATTGGATAACTACGCCCACGAGCCCGAGGTTTTAATTTTTTTCGAGCAGTCCCCTCATTCACTTCAGCTTTACTAATAACTAAATTTGCTTTATTTGCAGCCATAGTGTAACTAGCATTTGATGCGGCTGAATAAACCAATTTTAAAATTTGATAACTGGCACGATAGGGCATGAGTTCTAATATAATAAGTGTTTCCTCATAGGAACGCCCACGAATTTGATAAATAACTCTTCTTGCTTTATTAGCCGACATAGCTATACGTCGACCTAAAACGTATACTTCTGGGGTTTTTTTATTTAGCATCTGGTACATAAAGTTTGCCTCCTACTAATGACTCATAAGCATCAAGATATTTTTTAGTATTCACATTACCGATGAGATCTATTATCATTTTTTGCATGTCCTCGAAAATTTAAAGTAGTTGCAAATTCTCCCAATTTGTGTCCGACCATATGATCCATTATATAAATAGGGAGATGCTCTTTCCCATTATGAATCGCAATAGTATGACCAATCATTATTGGAATAATAGTAGATCCCCGGGACCAAGTTATTATTATTTCTTTTTCTCCCTTTATGTTAAGTTTCTCAATTTTTTTTAATAAATTCTGAGATACAAAGGGATTTTTTTTTAGTGAACGTGCCACAGTTTACTCCTATAAATTTTATTATTCTTTTATTTTTTTATTTTTCATATAATTGAATGAAGAAATTTAATTTGCTCTATTCTATTAATTTTGATACTATAATATATTATATTAACTGCGATGACGAAGAATGAGCTTCTCACTATATTTATTCCTCTTTCTAGTTTTTCTTCCAAGTGCGGGATAACCCCAAGGGGTTGTAGGTTTTTTTCTCCCAATAGGGGCTCTACCCTCACCGCCCCCATGTGGATGGTCCTACGGGGTTCATAGCTACTCCTCTAACTACAGGACGCTTACCTAGCCATCGTTTAGCTCCAGCTCTACCCAAATTTTTTTGGTTGAACCCAACATTTCCGACTTGTCCGATTGTTGCGGAGCAATTTTGGGATATAAAACGGACCTCGCCAGAAGGTAATTTTAATGTGGCTGATTTACCCTCTTTTGCAATCAGTTTCGCCATTGCACCCGCTGCTCGAGCTAATTGTCCACCCCTTCCACGTGTGATTTCTAGGTTATGTATAGTCGTGCCTAAGGGGATTTCGGTCAAAGGTAGGGTATTTCCAATTTTGATTGAAACATCTGTACCAGAAACAATCGTATCTCCAATTTGAGCCCCTCTCGGATGTAAAATATACTTCTTCTCACCAGTCCGATAATGTATTAGACAAATGTTTGCATTTCTATTAGGGTCATATTCTATGGTTATGATTCTACCATATAGGTCTTTTTCATTCCGTCGAAAGTCTATTTTACGGTATAGGCGCTTATGACCCCCCCCCCTATGCCTTGATGTAATGATTCCTCTAGCATTACGACCTTTACCACAATGATGCTTTCCAGAGAGCAAATTTTTCCTTCGAGCAAATTTTGGGCTGTTTACGGTTTCGCTCGGGTTATCAGTTTTGTATAATTTTATTCCCATGATATTAATGATTTTTATTTTGGATTGAAAGTTTATTTGTTTGGAGGCATACGTCTAATTCTCTGCGGTAGCCATTGCATTATATGTCCTCTAATAGGGAGGGCCTACCATTATGTGACCCTTTGCCAGAAGCGTAGCACTACTCAAAGTTTATGACGTGGACATAAAAAAACTATTTATTATTTTTTAATATTTTAATAACTAAATCCGTTTTTCTGTAAATACTATATCTTTTATTCCATCCCGAATTTGAGTATTAGTTTAAGTTGAAACTAGTTAGTTCGAGTAAAGAATGTTTTTGTGAATAAGTGTTCCTATATTAAGTGTTCCTATATATATATATAGATATATATATATATCTAATATAGATATATATTCTCTATATGTATTGGTATCCTAGAATTATCTATTATGATATATGAAAATGATATATGAAATGGAAATAGTCAAAATAAAATCTATCTAGGAACATATATCTTATATGATATTTGATTGATTTGATATGGACAAATTTATCTAGGAGCATATATATCTTATATGATATTTGATATGGATTATGAAGGAAATGCTCAAAGTAGATCTATGTTAATATATATCATATAGCCTAAAATATCACAAAAAGAAGAATTGGAGGGTCAATAATATTTTGTTTTGTGTAAATGACTAATAATGTGCATCCAGTAGGAATTGAACCTACGACTTCGCCAATTATGAGTTGGGCGCTTTAACCACTTAGCTATGGATGCTTAAACGAGACCATCATCTATCAAAATTGAAAATTAAAATAGAATAATTATGGCAATTTTTAATCTTGGAATATTTAATTACATTGAATTACAGCAAAAAATGTCGTTTAGATAAAGAATTTATGAAATCTGAAATACTAAACAAAAACTAGATTTCTTTTATCTTCTATATTTCTTTTATCTTCTATATTTAATATTTAATTATATAATATTATATTTATATATAATAATAATATGATATAATAGATATACAATATAGAATACAATAATAAAAGTATTAATACTTTTTAATACTTTATACAAAATTTTAGGGAGGTATGAAATGAATCCTAAGCCAGAAAAGTTCTGGATTTTCGAGTTACGAGAGATACTGAGAGAGATTAAAAAATCAAAATATTTTTTAGATTCATGGACCCAATTGAATGCAATCGGATTTTCAATTCATATTTTAGTCTCCCAAGAACGATTTTTAAAACTGTTTGACCCACAAATTTGGAGTCTTATACTTTCACCTAATTTGCAAGGTTCAAAAAGAAATAGATCAATCAAGATTAAGGGAGTTTTACTAGTTTTCGTTGGCGTTGTTATATTTATATATCGTATTAGCAATCAAAATATGGTTGAAAGAAAGAATCTCTATTTAAAAAGACTTTTTCCTATACCGATGAATTGCAGTGAATCCATAACTGATCAAGATAGTGGTTATTCTACTCTAAATCGATTAAGTATTTTACTCCTTTCTTTTCCAAAAGGCAAAAATCAAGTTGATATTGATTTAATGAATCCAAACTATAATACTCGGGTTTTACCAATAAAAAAAAAACCCCTAACATGCCTCAATCAAAGTCAGATTCGCCGCAGGGGAAAAACTTTATTAGAGAAATTATTAGACGAACTAGAACGGAATTTAGAGAAATTCCAATGAAACTTCTTGGTTTCAATCTGGTATTCTTAAAAGAGAAAAAATCGCTTGAGTTTCCTTATAATTCCACAAGATCTAGTTCCTTACAAGTAAAAGATTTCGGCCAACCGAAAGGATCCTTGGATAGAAATTTTTTGGATTCTATTAGAAATGAGGATTCGGAATATTCTAAATTAATCAATCAAAGAGAAATTAAACAACGAAAACAAAGATCAACTTCTTGGGATCCTTACCTTTTTAAAACGGAACAAAAAGAGATCAAAGGCCGTAAACCAACGCTAAGCCTTCCGTTTCCGAAAGAAAGGGAACAATCTCGGGGCAATGCCCCGAGGTCCCTTTCTTCATTTTACTCTGATAGATGGTCAGAACTTTATATGGGATCAACTCCTATTGCTAAGTCCACTATGGATCCGAAATTTAGGAATAAATCTCTTTCTTTTGTCCGGCAAGCGGAAAAAAAAGAAATAGTTAATCTATTTAGAATACTTATGTATTTAAAAAGAACTGTTTTAATTAAGTCTATTTCTTTTGATCCCCAAATAAAAAATTCGAAGAATACTGGATTTCTTAAAAAAACTCCATTATTTTATTTTGTTAACCGATTTCTTGAAAGTAAACAAGGAAGCTATGTGCTACAACATGATTGGAAATCAAAAGAAAAATTACAAAAAAGTCCAGGTTTATTTATTCTGACAATAAGCGAGCCGGATCCAGTCTATAATAAGGGCTTTACTTTTTTTGTGAATATAGATTCATATGGATTGCATAAAATCAAATTATTGAATCAAATATTAAATACTAGGACTGACTCGAAAAATCAATCTTTGTTGGTTCTTTCGCCTATTTTTTTTCGTTATAAGGAGAAGAACTATTTTTTTCAACGAACGGGACAAAACTACGTCTGGATTGAAGCAGTGAATCAATGTATATCTATATTGATTCACAATCTGATTCAAATGCAATCTAATACCTATGTGTACATAAGAAATCTATTGAATCAATTTGTTTTCATAAATATATCCAATTGCAATTTCAAATATCGAATTAGGAGAATTCAAGGGGATCAAAAAGAAATGGGTCTTCTCAATCATCTAACTCATATGACATTTAAAATAAAAACGGGTCAACCATATAAATCCAAATGGTCAAATGGGACAAAGAGTTTACAAGAAAATTCAAAACATTTTCTTGATGAGCAGAAAAGACTTTTTAAAATGTATGTTCAAGTCCGAAAGGGCTATTTGCAAATGATGTTTGAGAAAGTTTATCAATTCTCTATTTATATTATTGATAAAATAACTGAGAAATGGATTTATTGGTCTAAGGTTCGCAGGGAAGTAGAAATCAAAGTAAAAAAAAATGTGTATAAGTTAATTCCTTTAGTTTTTACCAAGTTGTCGAAATCAGTACGTTTCTTCTTTTTGCCCCAGTCACTTCGTTTTTTTTTTACGAAGGGATTTCACTGTATGATCAAGTTGCTTTTGTTTTTGTCTAATTCACTTGGTTTTTCCTTTGTAAGTTTTGGTACTAGTCCTGTTCAGAGGTCCGAAATCTATATCTATGAATTAAAAGGACCGAACGGTCAACTTTGTAATCAGTTGTTGGAATCCATAGGTTTTAAAATTATTTATTTAAAAAAATTAAACCCCTTTTTGTTGGAAGAGTCTGGTACGTCGAACTTTGTTATCAATGAAACAAAGAGATCACCCTTTTTGTTTAATAATATAGCAAAAGGGCGGATTGATGCATTGCTTACTAGACAAAAATATTTTGATGAAAAGGGTAATGGGTTTCATCCCATGAACCTATTTCAAAGAAGTTCACTGATATCCGCTTTTTATAAAGCAAAT